AGCAAAAGGAAGTCTCCTGTGCATAACATGATTTAGTCTGGCCGATAAAGTGGAAGTGGATTTCTTCGTTGCATATTAAGTTCCGCTGGATACCATTTGCACAAGAGAGCAAAATTGCAGTTTCATATTCCTTTATGATGATACATCTCCCATCAGACAGCCTCATCTCTCTATTTCCCCAAATATTAAAATTTCTCCCAGCAGTGGCTCTCCAAATTTCCCACTATCACATATTGGCTCTCCAAAGATAGTTACTCTTGTTTGCACAGAGTCGCCAGCTAGGAGCCAAGCCCTGGGGGGTTCCCTCCGTCGGGGAGCAGGCTGGATGGCCATCGGGACAAGAAGAGCCCTTGCAGGGAGGGTACGATGCCCTGCTCCCCTGCGCACCCCAGGGACGGTGCAGCAGGAGGGGGTGGTCTCTGCGTGGAGCCTCTTCCAGCCAGTGCCTCACCCACAGCCTCTCACCGCTTCTCAAAGGCTCGTGCTGCCAGTGCACCGAGGATGCTGCTGCTGCATCCTCCTTCTACAGCTCCCTTTTCACCAACCTCCCCCTCTCCCAGCAGAAGTCCCAGGGCACCCATCCTGCCCAGATCCCAATCCACCTCATACACGGGTAGTGGGTTTCCACTTGCTCACCTCATGCTAAATATTCTGCATACTCGCCACGGTGCATGCAGCCTCCCGGGTTGTCTCCCTCGCCCCGGGAGCTGTGAAGCAGTAAGAGACTTCTCCGTAACCCAGTGCTTGCTCCTACATGCAAAACGCCACATCACATCTGAGGTACTAATACCTTCTCAAAATGTAAGTACTAGTAACTGTTGTTAAAGGAGAGGCCGTCCATAATCCACTGCATTTCCTGCATCTATCACCAGGGTTGGGTTAGTTGTACAAGTACAAACTGGTTGCTCAGTGCCAAAGGCAATGCAGTAAAGCAGTCACTGGTTCTCTAACCTGTTACATTTCTTCTCTAAGGCTTTTACAGCACAACACAAACTGGGTGCTGTCGGTGAAACTGGCTCATAACAGACATACAATTTTATTTTAAAAAACATCAAAAGGCAACATTAAGGATTGATGGACTAATTTCTCTGCACTGTGCCACGGGAAGGAGCAGCCTGTGGCCAAGGGGGGTAAATGCCTTCTGCTGGGACAAATCCCATCAGCATTTTTAGCCTCACTGCCTAATAACACAAAACTCACTCAATCACCATGCACATTTAATGAACCAGCCGGTCTGGCCTCCATTTCCCCAGAAGCTTTTGGCCAGTTTCAACCAATCCTGGCTGAAAGGCAGAGGCTCCAATGGTATGACAAACGTCACCGCGACAGCAGGAGCAGACCGACAGGAGGGAAATGTTACTGTGACCCAGGACCAGCCCTCAGAGAAACCCTCCAGCAAGAAGCAACCAAGTTTCATGTCTTCAGCCGCTCGCTGGCTGCAGACACCACTGGTCCCTGCACCAGTAGACGCAGCATCACTTCTCCCCATCCCATGTGTATTCTCTTTTCTCTCCTGGATCCCCCCGGGAGCAGATATCAGCCCCCTCGAGGCACCTGCCCTCCCTTGCTGGGCTCTCCTCCCACGCCTCCCACAGCTCTTCTCATTAACCAGCTCTTCACCTGCCTGCGTTCGCACAGTTAGATGGCCTCACGCCATTCCTTTAAAGTCAGTGGGAGCTTGGACATGAAATTCAATAAGCTGAGGATGACCTGTACAGTCCCTTCCATTCTTACTTCCCCTATTAATTCCCCTCTCCATCGTTTCCTGTCATATTGGTTTGCCTATTACTCCATGCCTAATAAATTATCAGTAATGCTCCAGCATCAAACATTTATTATCCTGAGCATCATGTGACTAATGAGTGAGTTAACCTCCAATTTCTGTCCATATAATTCACGCACATTGATTTTACATGAAAGGAGCTCTTGACTTACATTGGATGACCCTGATAAATTTAATCTCTTTAATGCTTCTTCTTTCTAAATAAACGAAAAATATTTTCCTCTAGAAAGTTTCTCACCGGTAAAACCTGCATTGCAACTTGGCAAAAAAACTCCTCCACTATCCTGCCGAATTAATCAATAAAACTAAAAAAACCCCCAAACCTGCATAAAAAGTCTCTGGTTCCTCCAAGCGCTGGCAGCTCAGCTCGCCTGACAGCGTTGTTACAAACACGACAGGTAATTGGAGCTGACCGCTGGTGTCAGGGAGGGTGGTCCCTCCCAAGCCACAGGGACCCCGAGGAATCCCCAGCAGTGGGTGCTGACGGGCCTTGCAGCTACATCAATGCTGCTGTCCCTGGCTTTGCTTTACCGGGGCAGAGGACTAACCGGGAAACCATACTTTGGATTTTGTGCTGGCTACCACAGGGCGTTGCAGCTTCTCCCTAGGATGCACACAGGGTTGGGAGTTCTAAACACTCAAAACCTTGCAGAACCTTTGCAGAAGGCTCGTAACAGGAGTCAGGAGAGTGTTTATTTAGATTGCAAAGACAGCATGCTTATCTTCTCCACCATGCATATGTGCCACTTACAGTAGAAGGTTGATGCAGAACGGCTTTGGGAGACAGGCTCCAGAGACGGGCTGGAAAGCCAGCTTGTCCAGCAGCCGGGACCACAGCCAGACCAGGGCTTCACCACAGCTCATCAACACCGAAGAAAAAATTCATTTGGGAAAAAAAAAAATTATTTTGCCACAGGAAAGATATGTAGCTGGGCATGGACAGAGTTGGGTTGCTCCTTCCATGGGGAAAGAGGGACAGGAACAAGGACTGGAGCTGACATTGAGACAGGGAGACTTGGGCTTGCCATTCCTCTGGCTTTGCAAGGGAGAAGCCTGCCGGGAGAGCAAAAGCCACGAGTGGTACTGCAGGAGGCAGCGGCCTCTCTCCATCCCTCCCCTCTGCCACCACGGCTGAGGCCCGGCTTCCCACGCCTCTGCTGCAGGCAGAGCCGGCAGCAGCGTGCCCCACCTCTGCTATAAACTGTGACTGGTTTAAACTCCTGCCCTTCTCCCACCCACCCACCGACAGCACGTTAGAGTCCGCCAGAGCAACGTGAGCCGCTTCTCTCTGCAAAAATGCCTCCTCCCTGCCCGGGCTCCAAGGTCCCAGCCAAGAAAAAGGGAGAGAGCAAGCAAGCAAGCTGGGCAGGATCCTGTACCAAGAGGGGCAGGCACCGGCAGCCCTTTGAAAACACAGATGTCTTAGGAAGGGCGTATCAGGTAGTGCTGCCAGGGAGAGCAAGCAGAAACAGAAGGGGTCTGTTTAGGTTATTCTCTTTAAAATATGTCCGCTCCCCTCTGAGCCTGCATATTTTACAGTCTCGGCATACTTTCCTTGTTGACAACTCTGGCAGACTTGGTGATTTTTTTCCTAAGCGAACTCACTCACCAAATGCATTTTTCAAGCTCCCACAACTTGAGCAATAGAAGTTGCAGCCTGAAAAAAAGCAAGGACCAAAAAATCAGATACTAATGGTAACGTTGCAGAACATTCAGGACTCGAACATGCGGCGATTGAAATGGCTAACTCATTTGCATTATTCTTAAATCATTAATTTTTATTCCTTTTCATGGAAAAAAAGGGTGAAGATCACGGCCATTTGGACTCCAAATAGATGTTTTTAATCTGCAGGAAAATCGTGGAGGGATTATATATACCCAAATATTAGAAAATATTATATTTCAGCTACGCAAGTATTAGAAACATCTGTGTTGCAGCAGCAAGAAGTCCTGTTACCAGGCAAAAGTCAAGAACAGAAGATAAAAAGAAATTGACTGTGCTTGAGAACGTCAGCATACGAATGAGCAACCCAAGTCCATGAATCTTTGTAATATTTTCCCTGACGATAACAGCTTTGGATCAGACCTGGGAACAGTTATGTATTATTCTAAACAGCTTGGTATTTCTTTGTGCCAAGTAGCTCCTTTTGGTGCTTTGCAAAAGGTTGAAAACACTGTCCCTCCGCCACCACACTCGGTTTATCGCTATTCCCCACAGCCGTTCTAACCCTACGATTTTTTACTGAAGAAACGTTGGAGAATCCAGTCAGGGCAACCAGAGTGCCCAGTTAATCTCCACATCGTGGGCAGTAAACCAAATCTCCTGACACTCATTCCACCAAGCAAGCACCCCATGCAACACCAGACTGGTGGCGGTTTTTTTAAATAATAAAAAGAAGAAGAAGAAGAAGAGAATGAAGAAAAAGAAAAAGACGACGACTATACAAAACAAGTG